GTAATTTTCCTTGATGATTTCGTGGGAAAGTCATGTGATAATGACCTTTTTTAGGGCTATCTAATTCAGTATGTAGAAATCGTGACTATTTTTTTTTAACCAACTTGTGGTGTGTTAGGCCTATGTAGTATAGTTTGAAGCATATCCTTTAAAATCATGTACAGCATGATTGTTTTGTGGTCTATTGCTGAGTACTGTTTGGTTTTTGTTAACAAATTATTTTATTGAACATCTTTAACCTTTCTTGGGTGTCCTATTTGTGGTCTCTCACTCTAAGAGTTCATAGACAAGGTGGTAATACAAATATGTCCTCTCACCGGTGATTAGTTTTTCAGACAATTTGACCTATAAAATCTCCTGCTTTATCACACATAGTGACATTCAATTATTTCTAAGACATATCTTTATAAGTATAGGTGAAAAGTTTTCTGTAAACTATTACAAGGTCTCTTACCCTGTCGATGTGGAATCATTTCCAATAGGCCCCATCCTGAGAGTTCCAGCCTAAACAAATGAAGAAAGATCTTGGGTTAGTTTCTTCGAGTGGCAGCACTGGATCAATGCTTACTGAGTTTGCCACTGTAACTTGGCAGCCCTACGTTCTTGAAAGTGGCCACAGGCATCCACATGCTTGTTAATGCCTCAAGTCTTCCAAATTTGGATTAAGAAGAAACCTGGGGCTGGTCAATGCTCATGGTTCGTGCCTGAGAAGCAGTTCTAAAAAAAAACAAAAAAAAACACCCTTGTTAGCAAGCTCTTTAAAAGAGATTCATGAAACAATGTGGTCAGGAAATATAAACATGTAATTGTAACATACAGCATGGAAAGCCACTGTGGGCCCCGGTGGCTATGGTACTTGCTTACAAAGGCAATGGTACAGGATTCAATTCCCATTAAAGCGAGTTGCCATTTCAGGATTGGTTTCAGCTCTATGGCAATTTTCAATCTCATCAAAAGAGTGCCAGATAATTTTCTCAATTTTTCTGAAAAACTGTGTTTTTCAAGAAAGGCAGTGAGAAACAAATAATTGGGCACCTCATCTCATCATCCCAAGACCTAGAACCAGGATGTCTCAGACTCCAGTGTCATGGACTTCCCCGTTGTGGGTTTCAAGACACTGTAAGAGGGCTAAACAAAAATAGGACACCACTGCCATACCCAAAAAGCATGACATAGAGATTGACTAATGGGAAGCTTCCTTTAAACAGTCAGAGTGCATCAGCCTGAGGAGGCAGGCGAACCAACCCAGTCATGCATACAATTAGTCCAGATCTGATGCACCCAAACACACTCAAGTTCTGAACAGGGACTGCAGTCCAGAAGGTAAATGAACAACCAGACACTTTCCGCCAGAGTTACAGCTGGTGAACGCAAAGAAGAAGAGTCATTTTTTAAATGGTTTGTGAATAGGGTTACCTGCCAAAAAATGTGTGGGTAAAAAAACAATTTTCCTAAAAA